ATTCAGTGTGCAGATTGGAAAAAGCTCGCTCAACGATGGGTGATGACGAATAATGAGGTAGTCCACCTTGACGCTAATCATAATCATCATCATCTTCAGCCTATCGCAGTCCACTGCTGGACATAGGCCTCTCCCATTGCATTCCACTTAGATCGATTGTGGGCTTCTCGCATTCAGCTCCTGCCAGCCATCTTGCAAATCGTCACTCCACCTGGCCTGTGGACGTCCTACACTACGTTATTGCTAATCATAATAATATATAATAATAATTTCACACATTTCACATAAGACTGTCTGATCCCAAACTAGAGCAGGTATCCAGACTGCTGATAAACATACTTATATATTTCTAAATACATAAATCTCATAGATAAAGTATACCCAGGCATAGAACAACTGATCGTGCTCATCACACAATTATTTGTCCTCGGTGGGAATCGAACCTACGACCTCTGCGTAGCAGTCAGGGTCACTAACCACTGGACCAACAGGCCAGTCGGTCGGTAATTTTTGCACAACACTTCATACATTTATATTTAGAGCTAAAAACAGAATGCTTGTTTGCCTAAAACGTGTTTTTTAAGAATTAAAATACTTTGTATAAGTTTTACCTATAAATAAACATGTTTAAAAATAGCCTCTACCTTTTTTTCTTGCTAGCTAGTTTCGGGCAATATTCGTACAATAAATAAAAATTTTAACAAAAAAAACCGACTTCAAAAAACACTATTCCAAAACAAAAAGTAAAAAAAACAAATGCGTATTCTTCTACAACTTAATAATCAACTTACTTTTTCTACTCATCAATATGTAGGTACGAAATATGTGTTTACCACGCAAGAAGGTAGGTAGGTATCTACCCACTTCAAATCTAACTCAACATATACCTATGAATAACAAACAACGATAAAAATATTTTTTAGAGCTCTTCTAAGTAAAACGAAATGTAAAATATTAGACTACTTCAAAGTCAATCAAATTATTACGATAATATAATGTAGTTACAATTATTGTTATTTTTGAATCGGTGTCAGCCAAGGAAACACTAATTAAAGTACCCTTAAAGTACATCCATGCCAATAAAAAAAGAATAATCGAAATCGGTTGGCGTGATATTGAATTATTCGTCTGTTTGTCGCGAACATACTAAATGAAAATTTAAGACTTATATGGTTTTCTCATGGATGCCATTATCAGAACTGAACCAAATTGAAATGGAACCACACGGGAAGCACCAGCTTTCAAATAAAAAAAAGAATCATCAAAATCGGTTTACCTAGTCAAAAGTTCTGAGGTAAAAAACATAAAAAAGAAATACAGTTGAATTTAAAAACCTCCTCCTTTTTTTGAAGTCGGTTAAAAAAATGAAAAACATGCAAAAATATTAAATTACTAAGATTTAGATATAAAATCCCTAGACTAAAGCAGCTTCAAAAGTGCATTATTTGAGTCCCCTTAAAATAAATATACACCACAACTTCCCTGTCACGTTGTATCACATCAACAGCCTTTACTAGTCCACTGCTGGACATAGGCCTCTCCTTAGGAAGGAGGTTTTGGCCTACTATACCACGCTGGCCAGACGGGTTGGTGTAGGGTTTATTTCAAGTTTTCCTTCCCTCTGCAGTGCTGTTGCCCTGCGTAGTTTGCTTACCCACGGGATGAATAGGGGTGGTGACACTTTGTATTCTTAATCCGTCACCACACGGACCACGTTGTATAGACTTAACTAATAGAACTTACTAAGAAGTCTCCATTTTAATGCATGTGTGCAATCACCGTTATGTCTGAACCGTTAAAGTTATCCGCCTATAATAATATTGTGATTATATTCAAAACAATACATCTGTCGGGTAATTTTAACGGTAGAAGTGTTCTCATTTTGAAATTCTTCCATTCAAGTTTATGTGTGTTATTTTTAATTAATGTCTGTTTGTTTTTTTTATTTTCGGAATTGGGTTATTTTTTTAAATTCTAAGTTGTAGTTTTTTTAGCTTTTTAATTTTGTACTTGAAACTTATATAAATAACAAAAAAAAAAACAGTTTTGGTTGCTTTAAAAAATTAAATATAGTAATTAATAAAACCTAAAGTTTAATTTAATGATTTTTTTTAAGAAAATTATGTGACACTAATGTTTTACGAGCGTTTTAGTTCCCAGCTCTCCACTGGCTTTTATCAAATGTCGGGCATAGACACAAAGTTTGACATTAATTAAGAAAAAATATAACGGATTTTGGCAATGTACCGTATTGACGGGCCTGTTGGTCTAGTGGTTAGTGACCCTGACTGCTAAACCGGAGATCGTGGTTTCGATTCCCCCCAGGATAAATATTGTGTGATGAAAATGGTCATTTGTTCTGTGTCTGGGTGTATTTTATCTCTAATATGTGTGTATTTAAAAATATATAAGTATGTTTATCAGAAGTCTGGTTACCATAGTACAGGCTCTGCCTAGTTTGGGATCAGACGGCTGTGTGTGAAATATATTATAAATTATATTCACATTGTTTATTCTTAAATAATATAATATATGATTTATTATTTTATACAACAAAAAGTTTTGTAGTCACACCATCATTAATCTAGCCTTTTATAATTTTATTTGAAGCAATGTGTCCATAATCTCTTTTCTAAGGAGAGGCCTATGTCCAGCAGTGGACTATTATAGGCTGTTGATGATGATGAATGTGTCCATTGCTGTACGATCGCCACCGTGCATACAAATATTTTTTTACGCACGCTGCAACTTACTTTTTAAAAGCGGCGGTAGCTTAGTGGTTAAGGCATTGGACTTGCGAGCGAGAGGTCGTAGGTCCAAATCCTGACCAGTACACTACCGACGTAAACCCACTCCTAACACGAACAATTTAGCTTAGCTAGAAAGGTTAACGGGAGTATTAGTAACTTCGGTTGCTGGTAAACTTAAAAAAAAAGGAAAATCTGTGCGGGGGCAAACGAGCAGACAGGTCACCTGATGGAAAGCGACTACCACCGCCTATGAACGCCTGTAACTCAAGTCACAAACGCGATCCCACCCTTTAAATCACCACATAGAATCAGGGGGAGGGAATGTTGGGGTGGAAGGTCTTTTCAGGCCGAAAATACCGCAGGCGACAATATTATTTCATTTTCAATCAACAATTTACAAATTGTTTGTTGCTTTTTGTTGCGTGTTGCTTGTTATTATAAATATATTAATTAATAGTTTATAAGTCAATACGCTACTAAATTTTATTCAAATCTCTATCAAAGATACTCTACTTTAATATGTTTAGCTGTGTTTTCCTGCGTACTCAACTACTACTAACAACAGTCCTGCAAGTGTACTATCGCAAAGGGTTTTGGCTAGTTGAACCAACTACCTGACGCCAACCTTTGGGAAGCAAACAGACGGCACAAAGGAAAAGGATATATAAGATATATACATTTAGGTTAAAACATAAATTGTTGTCACTAAAGGCCAAAAACGTGATAGATATTTTTAAATATTTTAATTCAATGAAACTGGTTTTTTATTTGCTTTATTGTAATCTATACTAATATTATAAATTGAACGCGCTAATCTCAGGAACTACTGGTCCGATTTGAAAAATTCTTTCAGTGTTAGATAGCCCATTTATCGAGGAAGGCTATAGACTATATATCATCACGCTAAGACCAATAGGAGCGGAGCACCAATGAAGAATGTTTCGAAAACGGAGAAAATTTATTACTATTGAGAGACGCAGACGAAGTTGCGCGGGTCAGCTAGTGTGTTGATAAAATTGTAACTGGGATCCGTCATTTATAAAATAGATAGATACCTACATGTATTAAAAAATTGTTCATAATTAAAAAAAGTAAAAAAAGGCGGCAAAGCACTTGTGACCTTTGAGTGGAGCCTTGAGCCCATGGGCCGCGGTAGCCACTTACCATTTTGTAACCCGGCTGATTTTAGTTTATTCCCGTAAACATAAATAAATAAGTAATTAGATTTAAACTTTATGAAGATATCTGATTGACATTTTGTCATAACATTTCCGAATTACAATTGTGCATGAAATACCTTTATTATTACATATTATAACTAAGTGTTTTGGAAACAGAGACCTTCTCCACGTTGAATTCAAATTCTAAAGAGCTTTGAATATACTACATGTTTATTTGTATTATACTTAATTATTTTGTAATGTTAATACACATGCCAAGAAACGTAATATTTAGATTCGCGTCCATTACAAGTATTATGTGATGAGCACGATCATTTGTTCTGTATCTGGGTGGAATTAATCTTTAATATGTATGTATTTAAAGTATGTTTATCAGCAGTCTGGTTACCATAGTACAGGCTTTGCTTACTTTGGGATCGGACAGGCGTGTGTGAAATGTGTGAAATTATTTTTTCTTATACCTATAAACAATTCCCCGGTAGTAAACAGTTTGTTTCCCGCTCAAGAGATTCTTAGATCATAGGCTAAGACAATAAATCTTAATTTTTCATCTTAATTATGACAAAAAATAGTTCACGGAAGTAGTCACAACTATTGTTTTCAAAGCAAACCTATCAGTCAAACAACTTTCTATATTTTCTACTCTTTTCTTGGGATAAAGCCACGCATTTGTACTTAAATTGGACAGGACTTGAATTTTAATGGGAAAGCGAAAGTCGTGACTGAATATGTTTATTTTTCAACTTAGTACTCAGTGTGGAGATACCTTTAGTGAAAGACGGAAGAGGTGGGCGAGCGAGCGGGCTTCGGGCTTTCCGAACGCAATTGTACGCATCAGTTCATCAGTTATCGTCGGGCGCGAAATGACGTCCATTTTGTTTTTTAATCTGTCGCGTGTGATTTGCAGAAGCATACGTATTTAAACTTATTTTGTTTATAAAATGATGGACTTGAAAGAAATTATTAAATGGTTTATCCCGTGTTTTCATATTTTGCTATATAAAAAAGTGAAAATGTGTAAATTTATGTACGTATCTTGTTTGTTTTTACTTTTATTTATTCGTCCCAGTTGTGGTGCAAACTTTTACAATAGTTCCAGTGATGATAATACCAAAAATGTAGTAAATCATAAATATTTAGATCGTGATAACTCTAGTGATTACCATGAAGATAATAATAATAAGATGAAGAACGAAGAAAACAGTCAACAAATTGATACGTCCGTTGGTAAGACAATTTCAATAAAAAATTATGTTTAATTTGCTTATAACCTAGGAAATACTGGTTTAAATACTTACCTCCACCTGTATTAAACCTTGAAAATATGATACTTATTTTTAATTAATATTCCCATGACCACGAAAAGTATTTTTTACCTCAACTTTTTTTTTTCAAACAAAAATCTGGTTATAACTAGATACTTACTAGTAAAACATGAATTCAAATATTTGTACTACTCAATATTACTGTGTTATAGAAATTAAATACGCGACAAAACCATATTTTTATTACACCACCAACCAACAAAAACCTGAATAGATAATTCATTTAGTAAACAAGTAACCTCAGCCAAAAATAATAATTTAAAAAAATACAAATAGATATACTTGGTTATAAACCTTTTTATTAAATTTATAAACTAACACAATAACACGAAAGTACTCTTTGCTGAGAAATTGTGAAAAAAAAAATTATGTAAGTCTCGAAATATAATATAGTTATGCGTGGTCAAAAAAAACAAAACAATATAAGTACCTATGTTTTTCAATATACACCAAGGTATGACACCCTTGGATATTTGACAGAAAAAAAAACAATTTTTGCTCAAATTTAATCGTAACTGCCACAACTCGTCGTTTAAAAACAAAACCCATTTCAATTTCGAATTTTCCCGCCAAAATTTCCCGTCTCATCTATCTGTCTCGCTCTATTCCTTTCTTTTACCTATTGGTGCCCACTTTACCTGCATTCTTTGTCCCTTTTAAAAAAGATTGGGTTCCTTTGGAGAGTTGTCTTCGGGCAGACGTCAAGCCACTAGTCAAAACTCATTGCAATCTCAATTAAAATATTCAGAAATAAACCGTCCGAGAAAATAGTCCGTCCTTCAAAATAGACCGAACCTGTACTATGGTACTAAAACTGCTGAGTAAATAAAAATAATTGATTTTAAAAATATAGTACAGTAATAAAGAAAGAAATAGAGCACAGCGTCTCGGAGAGTTTTCCGCAGACCGTGAAGAAGGGCTCACTCAAATGTGCAATTATGTACAAAGTAAATTATTAACAGAAACGATAGAACAAATTGGACATCGTTTGTCTTTTATTTATGAAAGACTGTCGGCTATGGTGACGTTGAGCGTCGAATTTTATTTCAGTTTTAAGTCAAGTTTAAGGCATAAACTACAGGGAACAAACAACCCTTGATAGAGCTGTCGTACATTTAGGTATACGCAGCTCTAAGCAGAGTCAAAACTTTAGAAGGAATAGCTCTATCTGATTTAGAATAATTTAAGTAAACCCCACGAAATCTCATTCTCAATCTCATTACTGACGAAAGGTAGACACCGGGAGAGAATCGAATCCTTTTTTTTTTGGTGGAAAATAGATGTACTTTGTTTATACATATGAATATGGGTAGGCCAACTAAACGCACTCCTCTAATGAGACAGCTAGGTTTTGGAGTAAACGAAAATATCATCGATTTTTAGATGTTTGTTGATTTATTCATAAACCTCTCGACCGATTTCGATGAAATTTAAATGGGACCACCTGGGAAGTATACCCTTTAAAACAAAAAAATAATTTTCCAAATCGGTTCTGTCGTTTTCGAGTCATCGGTGAACATACATAAAAAAAAACCAGCCTAGTGCGAGTCGGACTCGCGCACGAAGAGTTTTTTTTTTATTTTTAATGCGGGCGCATTAGGAATAAATCCTGTGTTGCGGGGGACTTTACAAACATACATGAAACGGACACAAACAACACCCAGACTCAGAACAACAATTTGTGGATCACACAAAGTGTCGTCCCATGTGGGGTTTGAACCCACAACACTCCATACCATTATCTATAAAAACGGCAAAAAAATCATGTTTGTTGTATGGGAGCCCCACCTAAATATTTATTTTATTATATTTTTAAGTATTTTTTGTTATAGCAGCAACAGAAATACATCATCTGTAAAAATTGTCTAACTATCGCGGTTCATGAGATACAGCCTGGTGACAGACAGACAGACGGAAGGACGGACAGCGGAGTCTTAGTAATAGGGTACCGTTTTACCTACCCTAAAGAGATTCCGATGAATAGAGGACCTCCTCCTTTTTGAAGTCGGTTAAAAATAGAAGTGCTTATTACATGATAATGAATTAAAACAATCTGTATTCTTCAGCGGAAATCTTACACAATTTTTTCTTCGAATCCGACTTTACAAATAAGCGGGAAGTATACCCTTCCAAACACAAAATAAGAATTTACCAAAACAGTTCATAACATGATGGAGTTCTGAGGTAACCAACATTGAAATAAAATACATTCAATTCGTGAATCTCTGCCTTTTGTAAAGTTATAATAAAAAGACTCTCAAAACCTATGTTATGACGTTATCCTCCTAAATTAAAAGTTTGTAAATACTTTTTTTACTTGATCTGATATCATCACCTTCATAGACTCTCAATGAACCATTGACCATTGGAACAGGCAATTGAACGCATCCGTTTTCAAGAAAGGTCATCTGCGAACGTAAATTACGCAACCAAATTTCGTACTAAACAATAACCTCATCACACACGGCCGTCTGATATCAAACTAGGCAGAACCTGATGGTAACCAGACTGCTGATAAACATACTTATATATTTCTAAATACATAAATATTATAGATAAATTACACCCAGACATAGAACAAATGGTCGTGCTCATCACTTAACTATTTGTCCTGTGTGGGAATTAAGCCCACAAACTCATTCTTAGCAGTCAGGGTCACAAACCACTAGACCAACAGGGCATTCGGTCGGTAATTTATGCACAACACTTCATATATACGTCTTTAGAGAAAAATAAAAGAATACTGATTTGCCTAACGCCTGATTTGCCTTGGTGACGGATTAAGAATACAGAGTGTCACCAACCCTATTCATCCCGTGGGTGTCGTAACCGCCGACTAAGGGAAAAAACTACGCAGAACAACAGCACTGCAGAGAGAAGGAAAACTTGACACAAACCCTATACCAACCCGTCTGGCCAGCGTGGTATAGTAGGCCAAAACCTCCTTTCTAAGGAGAGGCTTATGTCCAGCAGTGGACTATCAAAGGCTGTTGATGATGTGTTTTTTAACAATTAAATTAATACATATTTATTTATAGGGAATACTTATACAAAAATCATCCCTATAAAAAATAGGTTTAAAAATAGCTTCCACCTTGTTTTTTCTTGCTGGCTAGTTTCGGGCAATGTTAGTACAAAAAAGTGCTGTGTTAACACTAGACCAACAGCCCAGTCTAGGCTTCGCACTTATATTATGTAAAGAAATGAAATGATATTTATTTCGGAGAAAAAGCTAACTGATGCTGATGATTTTGTCTCTTAACTCTCTAATTCCTTGGATATAGTACTTTTTCTGTATAGAAAAGACCCGTGAGGAAGGTAGGACTGGCCTGGCCTAAGGGTGTAGTTGGCGGTCCAGATTGCTAAGCCAAATGTTGTGGGTTCGATTCGCAACCAGGGCAAATATTATGTGTTAGGCACGATCGTTTCTTCTGTCTGTGTGTAATTTATCTATACAAATAAATAAAATTGGAGTGTCTGTTTGTAATATTAAAATAACCGCTTTTTACTAAATGCTTATGTATGTTTACACGGTACATATGCCAAAATAACATTTTTTACAATTTTTGTCTGTCTGTCTGTTTGTTCCGGGTAATCTCTGAAACGGCTGAAACGATTTCGACGGGACTTTCACTGGCAGATAGCTGATGACATAAGGAGTAACTTAGGCTACTTTTTTAGACTAGCTTCGCCCCGCGGCGTTGCCCGCGGTTATAACAACAAACGCGAGTAACACCGCGAGTCTCAGCTAGTCTTTAATATGTGTGAATTTAGAAATGTATAAGTATGTTTACATAGAAATCAATATGGCCGGTTGACAGCAACAAGCCCGCCTAATTGCATAAGTGACATTAAACTTATAGTCTTTGGTAGACTGCTGAGTTAAGGGTAGTGGGTTCGATTCACACCCAGGACAAATAATTGTGTCACGTGCACGATCTTTTGTTCTGTGTTTGAAAACCAGTACTAAGAGTGCAGATGCTTGAAGCAGTCGGAGATTTCCCGTATATCCGTTTTCTAATTGAAGACCCCTAAAGGAATTAGGCAATTTAACACCACATTTATTATAACCTTCAATTGTTTATAACTGTTTAACTGTTAGTGTTGTAACATCAATAAAATTCAATAAATTGTTGTAATTTTTCATTAGGTGTCAAATATGTCAATACGCTCATAAAAGATTACGTAAGGTCAAGCTTTGCGGTATATTAACCTACTAGCTGACCCGCGCAACTTCGTCTGCGTCTGTCAATAGTAATAAATTTTCTCCGTTTTTGAAACATTCTTCATTGGTGCTCCGCTCCTATTGGTCTTAGCGTGATGATATATAGCCTATAGCCTTCCTCGATAAATGGGCTATCTAACACTGAAAGAATTTTTCAAATCGGACCAGTAACTCCTGAGATTAGCGCGTTCAAACAAACAAACAAACAAACAAACTCTTCAGCTTTATAATATTAGTATAGATACTGTTTAGCGAATGGAGTTTAATTGGTATTATAAATGCGAGGGTCCGTTGGTTTATCTTGTTTACTTTTACGTCTAAACTACTGAACCATCAAGAAACTTTGGTTGCACATCTTCAGGGATAGACAAAAGTACATGAGAAATCTTACGTCCAGATAAGCTAGCTAAGCTAATTACTGCCGGAGGAGGAGCATGTAAAACTGTTTTATTGCCACTCGAAAGAGATCAAAGAGCAATACTTAAAGTGATATCCGAAAAGCCTTTACGATATCCCACAGTAAAACTGTACACAGATATTAAAGCCGGTTGCAGACCGAAAACTAAGCTATGCCAAAGTTAAACTAAGCAAGCTAGGCTAAGCTAGGCTAAGCTAAGCTAAGCTAGAAATAAATGGCGTGTACACCGCGAGCTAAGCCAGAACACAGTCAGTCAATT